GTACATACAGATTTCTGGGTTTTATTCTAATGTTTGAGGGGTAATTGTTCTCTTTTAGAATTGCTCTGTATTTTAGTAAACAGCACATAGTTACGTGATTAGGTACATACAGATTTCTGGGTTTTATTCTAATGTTTGAGGGGTAATTGTTCTCTTTTAGAATTGCTCTGTATTTTAGTAAACAGCACATAGTTACGTGATTAGGTACATACAGATTTCTGGGTTTTATTCTAATGTTTGAGGGGTAATTGTTCTCTTTTAGAATTGCTCTGTATTTTAGTTAACAGCACATGGTTACGTGATTAGGAGCATACGGAATCCGAAACAAGAAGCTCATATTGCTGGTTTTCGAGTTCTTCTGAATGATAGTAAAGTTAATTCAAATAAAATAATAACAGTAAAAAACTGTATTAAAAATAAAATCAATGAATAATGTTATGTTATTAATCTTTTCTTTGAAAATCGGACTTATAAATTACTTAAATAAAGTTGGTAATAATTATAATTTACTTACTTAATCCGGTTCACACCATAACGGTTGTTCTTGTGAGCTGATGGTATAAATAGTGCCTAGACCCTACTGGTATTGTGCGAAAGGCCTGATCGGCGCTGGATATAGCAGATGTAGTGTAGTTGACATTTTAAAACATATTCTACTTTTCTTTCACCCATGATCTCTTAGAATAACCACTGAGAACAGTCTGGTTCTTAGTGTGATCGGTGGCCTGTACTACACTTTCAGATAAACAGACCACCCCTATTTCTGATCGGGCATCAAAACTTTCCCGCGCCTTACATAAATATCAATACCCTCACTGTAAGAAAAGTTGACGTACTTTCTACTGTACAAGAGCACGCGTGAAACTGTGGTATTCCTGTTCACAGCAACCAGTTTCAAATCTGATTGTGATATAACGCTTAAGACAAAATAAACTTTACCCTTTATGACCAGAGTTTAAGTTAAAAACGAATTTCGGTATTATTAAGACTGAAAATGTTTCTGTTGATTTGCACGAAAGAGAATTGGTTAATCAAACTGATAAAAACCAAAGGATAACTAGAATTCAACCACCATTCTATTTGTGTACAGTTAAAATACCGAACAATTTCGAAGGTCATCTTCACATTATTTCTTGTTTACAAATTTCAGTACCACTCCTGGTATGAAACGCTGTTTCATTCAAGATGGGAATTAATATAAATTCAATAATACATATTATCAGCAGATCAATATTGTTACGTCTCCGTTTGTTAATTAACTTTCCGTAACTTCGTTCCGACGAAATTTTAACGACACAAGTCTTTACTTAATAAAACTGGTTTATTCTTTCCGAATATAACTTTACCGATACACTCAACTTCAACAATCGCGCTAAACAAACGCTATAACAACGAACGTCAATAATACTTCTGACTGCAGTTCAATTACTCACTATCTACACACACATTACAATACCGCGTCACGTTGTCCCCTCTTATATATACCCGCCTACACTATATCTAGTAAGAACTAGAACATTCGCCAAGATACGGGATAGTTCTAGAAACGTGGCGTCACTGTAGTCATGTGATCTCGATGACGCAACACTGCCCCCTCCTTAATATTGTTCGTCCCGAACAATAACCACATATGATAAACCAATAACAATTAACAATAACTTAATTAAAATGTACAGAATTACAAACACAAAATTACAATTCAACAAAGTCTCTTAATTTTACGGGACGTATCTTCTTCCGTACTGGTCTCCGTCTCGTTGGCTTCTGCTTCATGTGGGATTCATCTGCTTCATCAGTAAATGTCCCATCATCGGTAACAGTCACATCAGTGTTAGTAACATCACCAAGAGCTTCACCATTTCCCTTCTCCAAACTGAGTAGAGTTTCTTCTTCGACGGTGGCTTCTTCAGGTGGCACGCCTTCAGCAGCGTCATTTGTTCTGTTT